ACATGGACTTTGGCTTATGTCCGACAATTGTGGAGACCAATAAGGTCTTCGGGTGACATGGTTCCCTGTTCTGCACACGCTCGTTGAAACGAGCGACATAATACTTCAAGCTATCGTCTTCCTTCTCCTTCCTACTGGACGATGTTTGTTATGGATTCTTTGTGGATCAAGCATGCTTGGGCCCCAATGAAGTGAGACCTTAATGGCCGACCTGAGCTGCTGCCATTTCCAAATGGAATAGTGTGGCAGCAAATGATACCATTTTTGGGCCCTCGACCCCAGAGTTAAGGAGAACATACGACATCGCAGGGCATCCGACCGAGTGCAAGTCCATCCATGATACGTAATGCCGAGGTGGGCGTTAGGATCCGAGGTCCCATTGTAGAGACCGATTTGAGGGACTTCCATTAGTTCTGGTGCCTGCGGAAAGTCAGTTTACACGTATACGTGCTCCGCGTTGGGAGCCTCCGGGGGGACCCCTCTTGCATCTTCTGCCGAGCTTCGAGCCCGGCCACTTTCTTCCGCAAGGCTTCTAGCTCCGTCATGTCCTGCCTGGCGGAGCGGCTTTTTCCAATTTGGTGGCACAAGTCAGTCTGCTTCTCCAGTTGTGGGAATAGCGGTCGGGCGGCGATTGTAGGCCTGCGGTGACGTCTGGAGTGACTTTCGGCGGTCATTTCAGGGAGGTTTGCTGCTGGTTGAGCCACCGTATTCCCCTTGCTTGTGGGTTGTCACGTGGCAGGGAAGTTGCGTGAGAGGCTGATGTATGTTCGCCTCTACCCTAGGTTGGTTGTTCTCCTTGTTTCGCCGGTGTGATGGGAGCTATTGATGGTCCGGGCATCGTCTTGGAGGTTCCAGCATGGTCTGAGCCATGAGGGCTAAGAAGCCTTCACGAACTCTGTGGTTTCTGAAACAGGGCAGCACAATCTATTGCAACCGGCGTCGCGTTGGGTCTGTCGGCGGTTTGAGCTGCTTCTCGGCTGGCGGCGGCTCTGGGTGTTTGATCATCTTGGCCTGACTTAGACTTGGTTTTACTGGAATGTGGGATGGGAATGATGATTGAAATGTATTTAGAGGGTTTACTGGATCGAAGATGAACTCCAAACATCTTATGGGCCCTTCCTCTAGCGCCAAGTTTTGTTGTTATGTGAAATCTAACAACGATAATAACAAAGATTAAGTAAATAGAAAGCTGAAAATTAGCTTAACTTTTGTATTTCGAAATTGGGTTTTTAGTACACAAGGTCGGTTTTATCTGTAACCGAGCTAGTGTATTTAATGTGTCGGAAAAAGGATCTTCGTACAGAAATAAATGTTGCTATTTATAGTAATTTCGGGCTCGTCTTTTGGGACTGGTTCAATGACATTAAATGTCCTAGGGGCATCTAGATGGTCCCACAAATAAGGATGAAGGCATGGGGCGGCTGATTGACACGCGTCCCATCTGTCCCTTATCGTGCCATGATCTCGGTTCTCCATGTAGATCGGTCCTCGTTCCGTTGAAGAGGTCGGTTCTCATGTCAGTTCATGCCGAGTTCCCGAAATTGTTCTGCCAAGTCGGTTTTTCTTCTTATCTTTATTATTCAGTCGGGCCTTATGATAGATCTCCCACATGGTGTCCTCCGATTGGGCTAATCAGGTCGGTTATAAAC